GGGCGGCGACAGCGGACCAAAGGCATCGCGCCCCTTTTTGACCGCTTCGCCGCCGCCGTTGTGTGCGCGGTTGATGGGGCCGAGTTGAGGGTAATTGTGGTTGTCTTTGTTTTATTCAATTGCGCTTGGGCTTTTTGTTTGTTTGTGTCTCTAGGGGTAGGGGGGTAGGGAGGAGGGGGAGGGGTTGAGTCAGTGGTGTGATTTTCAGTGTGATTTTTTTTTTTTTTTGCGAAGGGTGTGAATGTGATTCCGGTGGGCGTTCGTAGGCGAAGGTAGGCCTGTGTGTGTGATTCGATTAGGCCTAGGTACATTTTCGGATTTTTGTAGTTGATTTGACCACCTCACCCCAAATAAAACATAAATTTATACATAAATAAGTATGAAAATGATAATAATGTGCGTATTTCAATATCAGCGAAGTTTTTTTTTTCCAATACTCTTTCGTGTGTATTTAGAGTTAATATAATTTATACAGAAGACGCGCGCAGACAATTTTTCTCTCGAATATTAAAATAAGAATGAAATTTCACTTTTTTTTTGTAATCTATTCTGATGAAGTTAGGTTAGTCTCTCAATTTAATTTTCGGCTTATCTGATTAACTTCCGATTAATTTCACAATGATATTAACAGAGGGCTTTATTTTAGAAAAAAAAAGTTCTAAAGGCAATTTGCTCTAATAAATAATCCCGAATCAATTATATTCTTTTTGACTGAATATTGATATCATTAGCGAAAGAGGCAGAAAGAGGATGAATGTGGATATTTTTTTGTGCGGATTAATGGTACTTTGACAAGCATAGGGTGTGGATGTGGATTTCTCTGCCTGTCTGCCTCTCTCTCTCTCTCTCTCTCTCTCTCTCTCTCTCTCTCTCTCTCTCTCTCTCTCTCTCTTCTCTTCTCTCTCTCTCTTCTCTCTCTCTCTCTCTCTCTCTCTCTCTTTCACACACACCTTTCTCATTCTTTCTTTTCTCTCCTCATTCTCCATCTATCTGTCTATCTATCTATCTATTTATTTTCATATGTTGATGCCTCTCCATTCTCCCTTCCTTCGCCCGATCTCTCCCCTGCCCCCCCCCAACCTCGCACCTTCTACATTCCCCACCATTCCCAGTCTCCTCCCCTCTCCCTCCCACCCATACACAAGCCAAATCAACAAGCGACCTCCCCCCCTTCCCCGTCTCCAGTTATGCTAACCTTAAACGACCGAAAGGGAGACAGAGAGAGAGAGAGAGAGAGAGAGAGAGAGAGAGAGAGAGAGAGAGAGAGAGAGAGAGAGAGAGAGAGAGAGAGAGAGAGAGAGAGAGAGAAGAGAGAGGGGGGGGGGGTCAGAAAGACAGAGGCGTTAATGGATGCTAAGAGTTTATGAAGGGGTTGAGGGCCAGGGTGACGGGTGAGGGTGAGGGTGACGAGTCGGTAGGGGGGGGGGTTGAGGTAGGTATGACGAAGGTTTCGCATTTCTCCCTTTTGGGGCGTGAGAATATAAAGGAATATTAGATTATTTCTTAGAGGGACATGAGCAGGGTCTGTGCACGGGCGCGGCCTATCGTGTTTCTCAGGGGGTGGGCGGGAGGGGTGAGAGGGCGAGGGCGTAATAAGGAAGGGGCAGTATATCTTATCATTAACATCGTTTATGTTGGTTTTGTCTCGTTGTGTTGTCTTATGTTGGCAGCGTTTTAGTTTGCATTCTTCACAATTTTTTGGCGTATGGGCGTATGTCATCACTATTTTCTTCGTGTGATTTCTTCCGTCCCCTCTTCGCTGTTATTCTCTTATGTTTCTACCTGTTATTTTCTCGTCATTTAACATTGCATTTAGACATCTTGAGCTTCGTTGTCGTTATCTATGTTTGATTTTTTTTCTTATTTCTTTTGTTTTATCAATTACTCTTATTTCCAAATAATGTTTATTCTTTAAAATCACCACACCAATGTGTTTAATACTATTACATTTGATTGAACCAATGTCATTTATAAAAAAAAAAAATGGTCCGTCCCCAAAATTCAGATCTCGCAATTGCTGTTAACAAGAGCCTACGGAGGGAAGCAACATGCACAAGAGTCCATTAACTTCAAACTCTTAATAATCCTTTCGCCTCCAGCTGTGGCCCGAGGAGTCGAGTCTGCGTTGACGCTCCTAATGGTCTGCATGAATAATTGATTTAATAATTCCTTTATGAGGGATTAGGGGGCTATTAGCCACCCCCGCTCTTCCCTCCTTTTGCTCTCCTCTTCTGTCCCTCTCTCTCTCACTTTCCCTCCTTTTCTATTTCTTTCTTTCCCTCTTTTTCTTCATATTTCTTTCCTTCCTTCCCTATTTCGCTTCTCTCCTTTCTTTCTTTCCTCATCTCCTCCTCTCCTTCCCCATTTCCCTCCTGTCTACCTTCCCCCATCCCCTCTCCTCCTTCTCCCCTACTCTCATTCCGTCTCCTCTTTTCCTTTGTCTCTTCGTTTCTCTTCTTTCTTTCTTCCCTCCCTCTGCTTCTCGGGTTTATCAGTGTTGTTAATTAAAAAAAGAAAACATCCGCGCGACTCATTTGCTTTTCCCGTGAAGTATTTTTTTTGTCGTTATTAATTGTTTATGAATTTTGAAAATGTCTTCCATGGTTTCTTCCTGGTCTCGCCTCCGAGAACACGTGATTCCATTAATCTTCCCTTGTGTACTTTCCTTCTTTCAGTCTTCCTACTCCTCTATCCCTTCTCTCCTCTTTTCCATCCCCCTCTCTTTTCTATCCCTCCTCATTCCATTCTTCTTCTCTTGAAAGTGGAGTTGTCTTACAATATAAAAAGACTAATAAAGAGTAATTTTCGGTCGATTTCACTAACCAACGTCTCTCTTATCTTTCCAGAGCCGACTGATAAGCGCCACGACTCAAGCTGAGCCGGTGATAGCGGACACGAGAGAACCCCCCCCCCACCTCCTGCTTCGCCCTCCCCCCTCCCCCCTTCGCCGAGCGTCTGGAGAGGGAAAAGGGAAAGGACGGAAGCGATCTCTCGGGCCAAGATCATGTAGTTGGCAGGGACCCGTTCGCGAGATCGAGGTCGTTTATTTTTTGTTTTGGTTTTTCTTTCCCTTCTTTTTGGGTTCTCTTTCTTTTTGTTAAGAGGGAGAGACCAAGAGGAAAGGTAGCGTCAGTGTCAGTGGAGAAGAGGAGGAAGAGCCCCCCCCCCCCCGCCCTCGGCATCTGGCAGCGTGGAGGGTCTTTAACGTGGGCCGCCCGGAGATTAGGGTCCCGGAGAAAGCCAAAAATAATAGAGACCAGGCAGGACCTTCAGATTGTGGGGGATTATAAATCTAAACTTTGCGATCTCGAGGCGGAAGGACCCTGGAAAGAGTCTTTCGGGGCTCGACCTAATCCCGGCGAGGGCCAGTTGCAGGGTCCCAGGGCCACGCGGATAGGAACTCCTCTGTCAGTTGACGTGGAGGGCGTGAGCGTCCTTGGACCACCCTCCTCTCAAGGGCGTGACTCTAAGAATGTCCCTTCTCAGACGGCGACGCAGTAGAAGATAGCAGCAGTAGGACTCAGTAGCACCCTAACTCTTTCCCGCTGCAGCCATGGGCGCCCCACACACCGCCTTCCTCAGCACCCCGTCCTCCCCCCCTCTCGAAACACCCGTCGACGCCGCCATGACCGGAAGCAAAGCCTCGAGGCGGACGGAGCGCGACCGGCCTCGCGCCCCCCGCCAACCCTCCTCCAGGAGGATCTTCAGAACCCCCTCCTCCGTCGCCCTCCTCCTCTTGAGGGCACCCCAGCCTTCCTTGTGGTGCCTCCTGCAGACGCTCGTCCTGACGGTGTCCTTCCTGCCCGGCGCCAGGTGCTTCGCCGCCTCGTCCTTCGCCACGCCGCGGCTGAGCTCCTACGAGACGTGGGAGCACGAGGCGTGGCTGGAGGACACGGGCGCCTTCGTGGTGCAGTGGAAGCCGCGCGAGGACAGCATCGAGTTCCGCGTCACCGCCAGGACCAAGGGCTACATCGGCTTCGGGCTGTCGTCGGCGCCCAGGATGGACGGCGCGGACATCGTCGTCGGGTGAGTCGCCGGAAAGGCTTCGGTTAAAGAGTAAATCTTTAGTGTAAATGGGATTAAAAGTTAATTTGTCTGATATATAACTAAGTCAGGAAAAGATTTTGAGATGTAACGTTTTTTATATAAATATTAATAACTAGCATAACGTAAGACATTCCCCTTTTACTGAAATTTCGAGACTTTTTATGTTGTAGAGACCTCTCTGGGTTCGTTTGGTGAATTTTTCAAATAATGATTTTAACAGCGTATGCTCTCTCTCCCCGTGATTGATAAACTGTATATGTAGTTTTGCCTGTTAATACGAATACATTTTCTCACTTCCTCCTTCTTGTTGTTCTTCATCTTTTTCTTCTTCTTCTTTTATTTTTCTTCTTCCTCCTCCTCTCTTCCTTCTTCTCTCTCTCTCTCTCTCTCTCTCTCTCTCTCTCTCTCTCTCTCTCTTCTCTCTCTCTTCTCTCTCTCTCTCTCTCTCTCTCTCTCGCTCTCTCACTGATCCACACATTCACCCATCATCCTTTTCTCTCGCCTTTTTCCTCTTTTCCTCTCAGCCTTTTCACCACCATTCATTTCCTCTCCCTCTCCTTCTCCCTCTCCCTCTTCCCCCCTCCTTCAAAGAGACGGCCCAATCCGGCAGCCCAATGAATAAGCTTTCCTCCTTCATTTCCTTCCCTCGCAGGTGGGTACACTCCGGCAAAGCCTATTTACAAGACCGGCATGGGCGTGGGAACGTTGAGCCCTCCGTGGACGAGCAGAGGGACTGGATGCTGGTGGGCGGCTATGAGAACGACACCCACACCGTCCTCATCATGTCACGCCCGTACAATACGTGTGACAAGCAAGACCATGTTATTTCGGTGAGTATAGAGGCAGGGAGAAACTTTTTTTTTGCGCCCCGTTTTCTTTCTTGTTCTTTATAGTGCAGTCCCCCCTGTCCGTTTTCTTTAATCTCCGTCGAGCGGGCCTGACTGCGTGGACCTGAAAGCGCAAGGGAAATATTGCATGTTTAAAGAGGGGTCTTGTATCTACCTTGTATATTTTTCTCTCTCTCTATCTCTTTCTCTTATTTTTGTATATTTTTCTTTTCTTATTGCGAAGGGAGACTTTAAATTGCTGTTGTTGTTGCTCTTAAAGTTTTGGAAAATAAACAGATAACTGCAGATGTTAAAATGAAGTTCGGCAGAGGGGAAGGACTGAAAGAGGGAGAAAGAAAGAAGAGATTGCAGCATATATTTTTCTTTTTAAAACATTGCAATGTTGGAGTTGCAAGTATTCGTAGACTATGAATACGCAACTCCATGAATAATTGAAAAGGTGAAGACATTTGTGAACAGTAAAAGAGCAATAGAAAATCAAGAAAATTAGACTCTATTGGTTTAAAAAAAACAATATATATATAAATCTGTGGATAAGCACAATATATATATATATATATTATATATATATATATATATATATATATATATATATATATAAATCTGTGGACAAGGAAGACGAAAAAGACAAAAGAAAAAAAAAAAAAAAAATCAAAACGTGAAAAAAAGAAAAAGAAACAGATAATGATGATAAGGATAATTTCCAAACTGCGGGAGGCGAAGGTGTAGTTACACTAATTGGCGATAATTTTCCCTTTTGTCCGTGTAACTGGCCTCGCTTGTTTATCCGGACTCGAGGAATTGCTTCATACACGTGTGCTTCTTATCTCTTATATTCGCTTACACGGAAACTGGCAAATAGTTCGCTTTCTCCGACAAGTGAAATTATTTTATACCCGTCTCCTCTGTCCGTTTTTTTGTTGCTGTTGTCTCATTTTATTTATGTATTTTATTGTTATTATTATTGTTGTTGTTGTTATTTTTATTATTATTTCGTTATTGTATTATTATTGTATGTTTTTTCTCTTTTTTCAAGTTCCAGATGTTAGAAATATTCTCTCGTTTCGTTATGTTTTAATGACTTGAAATGTAACTGGTAATGAGCAAGGCATTCGAGGAGGCTGTTTGTAATTATTGTTTCCTGTGGAATAATTTAGCCGATCGCTCGCTTGGACAAATAAGGGCACAGGGAAGGCAGTTGCATGTATCAGGGCGGTAATTAAGATTTACGGTTTATTGATGCCATGGTTGTTTGCTTGCTTGCTTGCCCGTTTCCTCTCTCTCTTTCTGTCTCTTCTCCTCTCTCTCTCTCTCTTCTCTCTCTCTCTCTCTCTCTCTCTCTCTCTCTCTCTCTCTCTCTCTCTCTCTCTCTCTCTCTCTCTCTCGCTACGTCTTTGATTCTCTCTGACTCTCTCTCTGTCGCTTCGTCTCTGATCTCTCTCACTCATCTCTCCTCTCTCATCTCTCGATCTCTCTCTCTCTCTCTCTCTCTCTCTCTCTTCTCTCTCTCTTCTCTCTCTCTCTCTTCTCTCTCTCTCCTCTCCTCTCTCTCTCTCTCTCTCTCTCTCTCCTCTCTCTTCTCCTCTCCTCCTCCTCCTCCCTCCTCCCTCCACCCCTCTCTGCCCTCTCTCCTCTTCGTCCCTTCCTCGTCGCAAATTCAGTTCGCTCGTTTCGGCTTCTTCTTATTTCGAAATCGAAGGCAGTCCGGCAGGCTCAGGGGCCCCCCCCCCCCCCCCGCCTTCCTTTCCTTCTCTTCGGCTGTGATTCCGCGGTTTATCTCGTGAAATATTCAGCGCCGTCGGATCTCCGCTCTTCCTTGTCGCTGGGGCGCCCGGGTGATGCTGGCGGGGTTGTCGGTCTCGGTGTTTCGGACAGACATGCACGACAACGCACACTCACACACGCACACCACAGCACACGCACACACGCACACACACACACACACACACACACACACACACACACACACACACACACACACACACACACGCGACGCGCGCGCGCTGCATCTTAGCAAATGGGAAGTTAGATTACATTTGTTCTGTGATTAATTAGTTATAATTACAAAGCCGATTGAACTGTGGTACACCATGAACATGTAAATAGATTTAGAATTAGTTTATGCGGTTTGTGTGTTTAAATATCCGAAATATATATTGTAATAATGTGTATCATCTTTAGGTTTAACTTCTGTCAGACTGCACGCACACGCACACGCACACGCACACTCACGCACACACCAATGCCATCAGTATGATTTTGCGCATGCGAATGATGCAAAAAAGCATGATGAAGAGATTGCTACCCTTCACCGGTATTGCGTCCGCGGCATTTATTATTTTCTTGGAATGAAACGACGGGGTTCGGGATCGAAGGCCAAGCGACAGAGCGAAGCATCGTGCATTCCTAATAAGCATTCTCCAGACTCCATTTCAAGGCGACGTCGCTCCCAGATGCAAAACGCACCTTTCCGTTGCAGGTGCGCCGTCAGACCTCTTCGAACGCTGTGAATAATTTCAACGCACTGACCATTGCAACAAGCCTACAGCTGTTAGTTGCACGAGCGGAAGGTGGCCGGCATGACACCAGCTCAGCAACAGACACGTGTCACTCAGCTGGGGTCTCGCGGTGGGGGCGCTGAGTAAGGAGAGTCAGCTGACGGGGAAACAGAGCAACTCCAGGTGATTCTGCTGCCGCTTCTGTCGCCCGCAGCGTTTGCACGTTCGCGAAATCCGCTGCACATGGGTTACTGTCGGAGTGCATGGCCACACGGACGCCGAAGACGCGAGTTGGTTGGGGAAGAAGGCGCCTCTCTCTCTCTCCTCTCTCTCTCTCTCTCTCTCTCTCTCTCTCTCTCTCTCTCTCTCTCTCTCTCTCTCTCTCTCTCTCTCTCTCTCTCCTCTCCTTCCCTCCTCCTCCTCCTCCTCTTTCTCCTCTTTCTCCTCCTCCACCATTACCACACCACCTCCTCCTCCTCCCTCCTCCTCCTTCTCCTCCTCCTTCCTCCACCTCCCTTCTCCTCCACTTCCTTCCTTTCCATCTCCGCCTCCTCTTTCTTCTTGCTTCAGGCTCGGAGGCCTCGGCGAAGGGCAAGCGGAGGGCCTTCGCGAATTCCCGTGCATTTGCCCCTTTTCGCGCTTGCGGTGCTTGCGGGCGACATGCAATTCCGTTCCTCAAAACGTGGTTAGCGGATTAGGGAATGTCATTAGCGCGGGCGAGACAAGGCAGAATGCGGCCGTTTTGCGTTCCGTCAGCCTTACTTTGCGAACACTAATAACTTTAGGCGCAGTTAGGCAGAAGGACGGCGGTGTTTGAGCGGCGCAACTTTAATCAAAACTTTGGTCTTCCTCGCGCGGCAAAAATCGGCCGTTTCGGAATATTTACTTGGCTTTTATCTCTTGCGAAAGGGTGGGGGGGGGGGGGGGCTTGTCTTGTCGTGTGCTCCCTTCGAAGAAAAAAAAAGAATAATGGATTTTTTATGTGTGTAATCGTTAAGAAATTGGTTTAGGAAATGGTGAGATCGTCTACCCCTTCTCCCCCTCCTCTCTCTCCTTCCCTCCCTCCTCCAAAGTGACCCTCCCCCCCCCCCCTTCAAAAAAGGAAATGTCTAAAAAGAGGACAGTAGTTCGTCTCGTTTTAATCACGACTTCGCATTTATGTGGGTCCCCGTTAATGACTCCATTCACCAGCACCCCCACCCCCCCTTCTCCTTACTTCCCCTCCCTCCTCCTCCTCCTCCTCCCCCTCCCCCCCATACAAGGACCGCGAGGAAGACGCCAAAGTTTCAAGTTTTTTTTTCTTTCTTTTTTTTCTGTGTCCGGCTCCGTTCATCCTGCGAGGCAATTCAATATGACCAAAGTTGCTTCAGTGGATATATTTTTTGATGGCACATTAATAGCGGCTTGCGAGGGAAATTCAAAGGGAAAAGGAGGGAGGGGAGAGTAGAGGAGGAGGGAAAGCGGAGGAGGAGTGAGAGGAAGGTGGGGAGAGGGAGGGGAAAGAGGGGGAAAGGGAGAGCGAGTTCCTTTAAACGAGGAGCCTTTGAGCGAAAGATTTCGGTGTAGGTGAATGCGGCCGTGTGATCTGCGAAGTTGAAATAGCCATGACGGCCATTTGATAGTTCGTCGAGGCTGGACCGGAGAGTTCCTGACGAGACCGCAAATGGAAGCGGACGCAGGCACGCGCGCGCGCTTAGGCACGCACGAACCCATGCCTAAGCACACACACACACGCACACGCACGCAGACACACACACACACACACACACACACACACACACACACACACACACACACACACACACACACACACACACACCACACTTCCCACCCCCTCTCTGAATCTAGTATGGCGCCCTCTCGCTAAAAGACCCGCCATTAGGATTGACATTTTAACATTTGAGCGCGGTAATGAAGACTTGGGCGGCCGTATCATTTATAATTGATCTTTTTGTCAAGTCGCAGTTATTAATTAAGCCGCGTTTGTCACAGGCCTTCTTGATCATCTGGTTCTCATTAGTCAAAGATGGGCTGGCCGCCGAGAGATAATCATCCCCCCCCCCTTTCTCTCTCTGTCTGTCTTCGTTTTACGGAAAAGGGAACGAGTGTCTTGTGTTCTACGGTCATTAGTTGATAATTACATTCGTCGTCCAATTAACAGTGGGCCCGTTTCCGCCGATAATTGATAATTCGCCGCTCGTCAGTCCCATTTGATTAATTAAGCCGTTCACTTATTTCTGACGATCGAAGGGAGATTATGCCCCCCCCCCCACCTACCCATTTCCCGCCCATTTCCACTTCCCCTTCCTTTTCCTTATCCTCTTCCCTTCCCCTTCCTTTCCTCTTCCTCTACCCCTACCCCTACCCCTTCCCTTCCCTTCCCCTTCCCTTCCTCCCCCTCCCTCCCCTTCCCTTCCTCCTCCCCCTTCCCCTTCCCCTTCCCCTTCCCCTTCCCCTTCCTCCTCCCTCCTGAGTCATCTGATT